GTTGGGGGCAATATGCTAACTCTGTAAACTGCTTAGAGAGGGCTGAAAGCCCTATGAAGCGGTATATAAGTCTAACTGCTATTGCTATTGCTATAACTGCATGAAGTTTACCTAACGATGGAAACTGGGACCACCAGAACTACCATCGTAAGCTGCTGCAGTCATGTGATGTCACCTCTTCTGGCTGCATCAGTTACCCATGGAGGATCCTTGTCCCAATTACTGATGGTAAATGAGGATCGCCTAGACTATACATATTACTGTCAGTTGGGTGACCTCTGTTGACACATTGACAACTCTTTTTTAAAATTATTTTATTTTATTTTAATATAAACAATCCATTTTTCATTAAACAATGTGCCATAAAATTTACCATCATATTCACTATTTAATCTATTCTTAGCTTAATTTCCAATACTTTAAATTCCTAATACTAGAACAATCCTCATCCTGATTTATTTAACTCTATTAATTATATGAACTATTAATACATTTTCCATATTTTACACAACTTCTTCTGCTATTGATTCTTATGTCTATTCTCTAACCTTCGGTAAAATGATTCCCAAAATGTATAATAATCACTTGGTTCTTTCTCATTGTTAGCCAGGGTCAATCTACTTATTTCTGCGCATTCTAGGATTTTCCTAATCACATTCTCCTCTGTAAAGATCTCTTCATTTTTCCAATTTTATGTGCAAATACAATCCTAGCTGCTGATTATCCATAACATGGATAATCAAATATATATTTTCTTTACTATAATTGTCTGGTAAAATCCCCAACAAAAATATTTCAGGTTTTAAGTCAATATGTTGCTGTATCATCGTTTCCAGCCACGTATGAGAATATGTCGTGGGCCTTCTCATAAAAAGTGTTTCAGCAGAGTTGGCAACTGTGCTTGACCATTATGGCTAGACTCTACGCTCCAATTTAACAGACCGCAAGCTTGCAGGGATGCTGCTTCGTGATAGCTTTCCAGGATATTCTCCCCCTCTTTGATTCATCTTTGTTATCTCAGCAGGTCCCCTCTTTCCAAATAAAGCACAGTATGACAGTCACTGTGCTTTTTCCTTGATCAGAAACCACCTGCAGCCTACATGGAGCCCAAAGGCATTCTTGCAAGCAATGGTGACAGGAGAACCTTGTGCTTCATAGCTTGCTGGCTTCTGCTTCATTTAAAATGATAGCAAATAAAAAAGTTAATATCGGGGCTGGGTGACAGCATTAGGGTTGGAGGATTATCTGAGGGACCATCTCTTGCCAGTCACATCTACCTAATCCATCCGAGCAGGGAGGCAGGGAATACTGTGGGTGCCAACCCCGAGAGAGTTACACCTGTAGGACCCAGAAGAGCCTTCTCCATGGTGGCTCCCTCTCTCTGGAACATCATTCCCCCAGAGATTAGAACGGCCCCCCACTCTAGTACTCTTCCGGAAGGCGCTGAAGACCTGATTCTGCCAGTGGGAACCCAAAACGGAATGGAGCCCATTAAATAGCTTGTGTGATCTGCTGTTGCCTGGTGATGGTGGTTGATTTTATTATGATTTTATTATACTATATTAATTTATTTGATTCTTTTTATTCTTTTTATTGTTTTAAATGTGCTTTTATATTCTGTAAGCCACTTTGAGTTGCCGTGGGTGAACAGGCAGCAATATAAATTCAATAAATAAATAAATAAATAAAAGTTCAACACATTTCAATAGCAATAGTTAGACTTCTATACCGCTTCATAGGGCTTTCAGCCCTCTCTAAGCGGTTTACAGAGTCAGCATATA